CCCACCCCCCCAGGCTCCACCCCCCCAAATCTCCAGGAATTCCACAATCCAGACCTGGCACCCCTAACTGGGAGGAATCATAATGTCGCAGTGAAAGAATTACTACCACAACCCTACTGTTGTTCTTTCAGGAAAACAAATTTTGTGCTCCATGAATGTCAGTTGCATTGTGAAGAAACAACAACAACAATAAAACACATATGATTTGGCTCAGTCCCAGATAGATGGCAGACAAATGAATTTAAAAAGACACCAGGCACACATGGATTTTTTTTATTGCAACTGACTTATAATTACTGATTATTGATCAGTGACATCTGGAAGGAAATTATCTGATAGGTTCCTATTCACCTTATGTGTAGAGTCACTGCTGAATTCTGTCCCAAAGGGAAATCCAATTAAGTTTGGAGAGTCCTACTTGAATGAACAAGTTGCTTGAATTTTAAGAGAGCTTCAAAACATCAATATGAATCTCAAGGGATTTTACCTTTATGTCATGCCCATTTATTAATTCCTTTTAAGTGTCTGGGGATTCTTTCTCTTTGCCCAGTAGCTTTTATAGCTACCCCAAATGTCCCACTCCTGCTGTTTTTAGAATGATGCTGAAAGGCTATTTTGAACATATCTGCACTACGGTTGCCATATGCCTCCCCTACCAGCTGTTGCCCACTGGCTCTCCAACAGCCAGTGGGAGATTTTGTAATTGCGGTTAGTGACAGCACAATGTCACTTCTGGGGAAAGCCTGAAAGTGACAACAGTATTATCTAGGAATTCCCTGAAACCACAGAATTTTAAGCAATCCCTAGAGGAATGGGGAATTATAGGGAATTACATCACTTATGGGGAAAACCTGGAATTAATGTCATGCCATCACCACTGGTGCCTCCCCTATGTCCCCAACCCTTCAGATTCTTTGTGGTTGGTAACCCTGGGCTGCAGTCACACAGAACATTAGCCACACAAGAGAGACGGAAGACAGGCGGATTTTCCGGGCGCGATCTCACCAGCACATCTGGGAAGCGTAGCGCTTCCGTGGCACAACCGAGGCTTCCCGCCGAAAATGCGCAGCAAAAAACTAGTACCTCGGAGGTACTAGTTTCCGGAAACCGCGGGGCAAGGGCGGGCGTCTGGTCGCGTTTCCGGTGGCATCCGGCGCCCGCCCATGTCCCCTTGCGAAAAAGGTTTCCCCCCCCCCCAAGTCTCCGTGGATGTGCACACGCACCCAACGGAGCATGCACATTTGTCATGTACACACAAAAAACCCCAGTTTGCTGCACCGCGCGCTTCTTCATTGCGCGCAGGCATGTCCTGTGATCGGCACCTCTCCCTACCCACGGAACCTCCACGGTACCTCCACAGGATCTCCACAGGAGGTCTGATTGCTTAACCACGCGTTAGTTTGCCCCGGGGCAAACAGCCACGTTCCCCCCCCCACAGTTTCCTGCCCGTGTGACCGGAGCCCTAGCTGGGCATATGTTTTACAGTGCCATTTTAAGCAGCTACACTCTTCTAACTTCATGGAAGTCAATGGGCTTACAAAGGTGTATCTCTGCTTAGGACTGTGCTGCACCTCTCCCAAATGTGTTAGACAGACAGACAGACAGACAGACAGACATCTGCAAAGTGGGTAATGCTTGATTATCTGGTCTTTGTCCTGTTTCATATACTTTACAAATAGTTTGTTTTATGTATTAATACCCTACATTAATTATTTGCAATCTCAAAAGATATATCTCTTTAGTGCAAGGGACATTACTCGGTTCTCTTGGGTTTTACAGAAGACATAAAGAAGAATAGAGTGATTTTTTTCCTCCCCAAACTTACCAGATCGTCCATCCCTTTGAAAGTCAACATGGTACCATTCTCCATCATTCACCTTTTTAAGCAAAGCTTTTATTTTAATTGTACCAGATCCCATGTCCAACAGCAGGTAGAGGTGGCCATCAAGCATTTCAATAGCAAAGAAGTCAACCTTGACCATTTGTGGATGTTTGGCATCTTTTTGATGTCGTGGTTTGCCATGGCTGAAAAGGATTAACCCATTTGGCTCAGTAGTGCGGAAATCAAATGATATTGAACCTGTTTTCTTGGCATTCCACTTTGGCAAAGAGATAAAAGACTCCGGTGTTTCGAAAGTGATTGGGTCCAAGGTCGCTACATCCTCACATTTAAATGCTACAATTCCATGGATCTTCATTTTAGGATCTCCTTGCTTGGCAAGCCGAGATAGTTCCAGCCTCACATCATTATTTTTATATACAACCTGTAGAGAAAACACAGTGATTACCACAATGGACTAAGCAATGCAAGCAAAATTAAATGTAGTTAGATCATAGAATCATAGAATCACAGAGTTGGAATGGGCCATACATGCCATCTAGTCCAAACCCCTGCTCAAAGCAGGATCAGCCTAGAGCATCCCTGACTAATATGATAAAACTTAATGTATCAGAATCAGGAGAGGGAAGGTGGCATGGTATAGCCCAATCTTGTCAGATCTCAGAAAATAAGTAGGGTCAATACTCGGAAGGGAGACCACCAAGGAGGACTCTGCAGAGGAAGGCCATGGCAAACCACCTCTGCTTCTCACTTGCCTTGAAAGCCCCTTGCTGGGGTCACCATGAATCAGCTGCAACTTGATGGCACTTTACATCCATACACACACATCAGAATCCATCTTCTATAGCTGGGAATGTGCAGCTGCAAGTGATATGAAAATTCTGTACCACAATCAGGCCTACCCATATAGTATGCAGCTTACAAATTAGTGCTGTCCCCGCATAGGAGCAGTATTTGCTGTTGAGCCGTGATGTAACTCCATTTAATGATAGATTCAGGTAGGTAGCTAATATGTTGGTCCGAAAATTAGCGTACAACATCATCTGTTAAACGTAATCTGTTAAACACCTTCATTATATTGCATGCTAATTTGCTGCTCACCCTCTACCTATATGAATCAACTGGTAACTTTCATTTCATTGTATCTGAAGAAGTGTGCGTGCACACAAAAGCTTATACTCTCTTGGTCTGACAGGTGCCACTGGACTCAAACTTTGTTCTGTTTAATGATGTGTGTTTCGGGGGAGGTTTTAAAATGTGATTTTATCATGTATGCAGGGCTGGCCGAAGGGGCTTGTGTGCCCTAGGCGAGGCCACCTTGTGGCACCCCCCTCAGATGCCAACCTCCCGGTGGGGCCTGGACTGGCCGGCGGGGGGGGGGGGGGGAGACAGAGTGACACCACGTTATGTGCTGGCTGCACGCGTCGCTTTAGACCGGGAGTGCGGAAGGACGAGGGAGTCTGCGTGCTTCCTTCGCGGGCGCCTTCCCCGGCCGGGCGGGGTGTAAGGCGAGCTTTGCGCTGGGCCTCCCCTGGGACCGCCGAGCCAGTTCTCTTCATGTCGGCTGGTGGAGAGGAGGGAGTGTGGGGAGCCCTGCCACCGGGGCCTGGAGAAAGCGCCTGCTGCCCTGGGCCTGGCCCGCAAGAGGAGGTGGGGCCGGCAGGCAGGCAGTAGCATGCGCCTTCCCCCCAGGCCGGTCGCCTCCACATGTGCTCCCTATTCCCCCCCCCCCAGGCAGCAGCCTGAAGAGGCGGAGAAGCGCCCGGCCGTGCCCCTCCATCCCCGCAAGCAGGCAGGCCCGGCCAGGGGCACTGCACTCCTCTCCCCTCCCTCCCTCCCTCCCCTCTGGGGAGCCCCCAGCCAGCAGCCACCCGAGTCAGCTTCCCGAAGAGCCGAGGGATTTCAGCCCCAGCTGAGCAGAGCCGGCCCGCACCGGAGGAGAGGGGCAGGGAAAACCGACGTGTGCTTGGCAGGGTCAGCGGGGGCCTTTGGGGGGGCAGCAGCAGGGCAGTTGGCACCCTGGACGGGGCTGCTCCCTAGGCCAGACACTAGCTGGCCTAGTGAGAGAGCCAGCCCTGGTTATATATAGGACTGGATCTCTCCACCTGTCCATTCTACCACTTGACAAGCTTTTATCAAATAAAGGGGGCTTTATTCTTCACCTGCTTGCATCACAGGTGCATGAATTGCATTGAAATAGGCTGCAAAAACACCATTTAAAAACTTAGCCCATACTATCTGGAAAAAGTTGAGTTAAAGTCTTCAAATGAGGATATGTGACTAAACCGCTTGCTTAAAAGATTTCTGTGTACAGCTATTTTGTTGATTAACATTTCTTGCTCTTCTAAAGCATTTATTACTTTTCTCGAGCCTTGCGCTTGCACAGATCAAACACATCAAGGTCAGACTCTATATGCTAACTTGATTTTTACTTGTTGACCTTGAAGCTGGAACTAACAGCAACCTTGTCAGGTATGAAGTTAGGCCACTGGGAAGCCAGCAGAACTCGAATCAAGAGGGTGAAACAGCATGCAGACAGAAAACCCAAGGGATACTACCTGAATGCAGACCAGTCTACTTAATGCTCCCAGCATTAAAGACAACATGATGATGATTATTCTGATAAAACTGAAAAGTAGCATTGGATTTAATCATATTTAATCAGTATGCTTTATAGGTATTCCTGCTCTAGTATATAAGCATTCCTCCAGCATTCTGCAAGAAAGGCGGGAAATGCTAATCCTACATAGATTGCCACGCTAGTCCACAGAAAAGACCCAAAACAAAAGTCACATGATACCTTTTACTAAGAACAACCCCAGCCATCATAAAATATTGTGCAAGGATCCATGTTCTCCAGAATGCTTTGTTAAATTGGAAGATAAAAGAACAAAGCAAAATAACAGGGGGTAGGTGAGAGGAGACCTTTCAGCCCATGATGTTAATGCCTCTGATCGGTTCCTTGCGTAGGACATGTTGCTGGTTAAGTTAGATTAGGTGGTGCTAAGCGGAGCTGGTTTCAAATTGCCCTTGACCCTTCTGGGAAATAAAAGGACATATGTCAGTCTCTGCCCGAGAATAAGACAGCAGCATCTTCCCATAGGCTAAGATACAACATGAAACCATTTAACTTAATGAAGCCTGCAACATATCCTGCACAACATGCACACCAGAGGACTTAACAACATGGCCTGAAAACACGTCTGCCCCTCTGTTAACATCCAGGCTGATTAGAGTTGCCAGCCCCCAGGTCAGGGAGGGTTTCCTCGCTTTTAGGGGCTCCAATCCATGGGGTGGTTGTGGTCTCCCAGCCCCATGCATCATGATCCCCAACCCACCCTGAGCATGTGGCCCACGACTGCCCCTCTCCCTCCCTCCTGCTAGATTTAAAGGGCCCTCCAGCCACGTGGTCCCTGCCAATCAGCTGAAGCTCTTTAAATCTGGCAGGAGGGGACAGAGAGGGGTGGCTGGGCAGGTGGTCATGCTTGGGGGTGGTGCTTGGCTTGGGGAAGGGTGGGACTTGGGGCATCCCCCCGCCCTTGGAATGCTCCCCAAATCCCCCCACTGGAGTGATGAGGGGACTTGGCAGTTTATTTATTTTTATTTATTTATTTATCATTAGATTTCTAACCTGCCCTCCCCGCAAGTGGGCTCAGGGCGGCTCACAAATAGGGCATATATGCCAATACATAAAAACAGATCTAAAAACAAGATAAAACAATCATTTACAATATTACAAGTGCCCTGGATGTTTCAAATCAGTCTTCAGTAAGAGGGTGGTTCAGTGGTATCAGCTCTACGCCACGCTGTAGTTCACTCATCCCAGGGCCATCTCCACACCTTGCTGTTGCCCAAACCAGTTGTTGTTGGTGGTGGTGGTAATGATGGTAGAACTAGTAGTGGCAGCTCCTACTCGAAAGCCTGGCGGAAGAGCTCCATCTTGAAGGCCCTGCGGAATTGCGCAAGGTCCCGCAGGGCCCGGATCTCCTCCGGGAGCTCATTCCACCAGGTAGGAGCCACCACTGAAATAGCCTTGGCCCTGGTTGCAGCAAGCCAGGCCTCTTTGGGGCCTGGGGTCACCAGCAGGTGTTGCGTCCCCGACCGTAGTGCCCTTTGGGGTACATATGGGGTCCCTTAGGTATGTCGGACACCGGCCATCTAGGGCTTTAAAGGTAAAACCCAGCATTTTGAAGTAAATCTGGTATGCTATTGGCAGCCAGTACAGTGCTTTCAGCACAGGCCGGATGTGCTCTCACCCAGGGAGGCCCACCAAGACCCTGGCTGCAGCATTCTGCACCAGCTGCAGATTCCAGATTTACGACAAAGGCAGCCCCATGTAGAGAGCGTTAGAGTAGTCTAACCTCGAGGTGTCCATCGCATGGATAACTGTGGCCAGGTCATCGTGGTCAAGGAAGGGAACCAACTGCCGAGCCAGCCGAAGATGGTAAAAGGCCAACCTGGCAGTGGCTGCCACCTGAGCCTCCATAGTTAGAGAGGAGTCCAGGAGCACTCCCAAACTCCTAACCTCCGATGCTGGCACCAAAGGCACCCCATCGAAGGTTGGGAGAGGGATTCCCAACCCCGAACCGACCCGACTCAGGCCCAGGACCTCCGTCTTTGCCCGGTTTAGTTTCAGTTGACTCAGTCTGAGCCAACCAGCCATGGCCTGCAATGCCCAGTGAAGATCTTCTGGGCTGGAGTCCGACTGGCCCCCCTATATCAGATAGAGCTGGGTGTCATCTGCATATTGATGACACCCAAGCCCATACCTCTGGGCAATCTGGGCGAGGGGGCGCATATAGATGTTAAACAACATCGAGGAAAGCACCACCCCCTGAGGCACCCCACATTCAAGGGCATGTCTCCGAGACTGCTGTTTCCCGATTGCCACCCTTTGTCCCTGACCCAGGAGAAAAGAGGCAAGCCACTGAAGGGCCAACCCCTGAATCCCTGCGTCGGTGAGGCGGTGGGTCAGCAACTGGTGGTTGACCGTGCCAAACGCGGCTGACAGATCTAACAGCAACAGCGCCACCACACCGCCTCAATCCAGATGCCTTTGGAGATCGTCAGTAAGAGCGACCAGCACTGTCTCCGTCCCATGTCCCAGGTGGAAACCAGAATGGAAAGCATCTAGGATGGAAGTGTCATCCAGAAACCCCTGTAACTGTAACGCCACCGCCCTCTCAACAAGTTTGCCCAAATAGTTGGCTAATAGTTGGCCAATTCGGCCGGGTCCAAAGAAGATTTTTTCAGGAAAGGGCGGACCATCGCTTCCTTGAGTGCCCCCAGGAACTGTCCCTCAGAGAGGGACTTGTTGATAATCTCCCTTAGGGCACCTCAAAACCCCTCATGGCCCACTTTAATGAGCCAAGAGGGGCACGGATAAAAACTGAGAGTGGTTGGGCGCACAGATACGAGCAGTCT